TGCGAAAAAAAAAAAAAAAAAAAAAAATCCGCCTCGATTAAAAAATACAAAAAAAAAAATCAATAACCCGATTTTAAAGAAATTTAATTTCTTCCATGCGTACACTTCCATGCTTATCGTGAAAATTATTTGTCTCGCAGTCTTATCTCGTCTAACGTTACGTTAGCGCGAATTGCGAAAAGCTTCGTGATCGTTTGCACCAGAAAGAGCTCTCTTTGCACATAGAATATAACCTGACGGATAATGTTTTGATCCGCGGAAGTACTATACGGAAGTACACGAAGTGCTTCAGAGGTACACCGGCATGTGAACTACTATCAGAGAAAAGCTTGATAACGATAAGAAGAGCTCGTGCTTATCGGATGGTGAGAGAATTTTTCCAGGAAATCTCCTTTCGCAAAGTCTTTCAAAAAGTTTCCGAAACTCGATGAAATCTTACATCCGAGTTATGTCGTACCCGGACGATCAAAGTTTCGATTTTGGATGAACATCGATAAGGGGTATTTTAAACTCAATAAAAAAAAAAAATTTATCATCAAATTAATTTTGTCTACAGTTTCGTCCGTCCCGTGTCCTTCCGATCGATCGTGACAGATGACTATTTTAAAATCGAGATGCCGATAAAATTCCTCGATTTTTGGTCGTTTCGCAGTCATCGTGTAGTAAATCCAAAATTTGTCGCTTATTCCAAATCCACCTTAATTCCAAAGCGATTCGAGATCGCAGGTTGTATAAGCACGATCAGTCCGGCCGAAGACCGATGGACGACTTTAAAAAATAGGCTGGACCAACCATGACGAGTGAAACAGACGGAGACAAAGAATCCGAAGAAACAGGGATGAAAAGATTGTGGATACAGTAGGCGGGCTTTATATCGGTCCAATATTACCAACTTTTGTGACAGCCTCGGGGACTTTCACGAGGTAGAGAAATATTTTACAGACCCTCTTCGGAATGGCTTTATCGATGGCGATTACTCCGGACGAGACACTTCGATATAAACTACTTACCGTTAGCTGCCGTAAGATTATTATTACAGAGATTAATCGATCCCGCTCTATTTACATCCCGAAGACACCGAACATCCAGCAAGAGTCATTTCGCGGCTCGACGCCTGCGATACGCTTTGGCAAATGCCTTTGCTGCTCCTCTCGCCACTGCTGATTCCGCTAAGATTAGGGGGGGGTGTAGCAG